GGCCTGTCTGAGCCTGGACTCTAATCCGCCAAACCTAGTTTTAGTTGCCCAAATGAGCTTCCTCCCAGAAGGCACCTGTCTTGGTTAGCTGGGGTGTTATTAGAATCGTGTCCTGTGCTGAGCACCTCAGCAGCAGCGGGAACTTAGTGCTCACTGCTCTGCAGGCTGAAGTCTGAGATGTGGGCATCGACGCAGTCAGGTTCTGCCTAGGTCCCTCATTGGGGTTCTGATGCCCACTGCTTCCCCAAAACCTCGAGGAGCTGCCATCAGAGAGTGAGAGCTTGCTTGGGGTTCTTGTAGGAGGGCACTAATCCCATTTGTCAGGGCTCCACCCACATCCCCTGATCACCTCTCAAAGCTTTGCTTCCAAATACCGTCATGGTGGAAGTCAGGATTTTAATGTGAATTGTGAGAGGGCACAAGTATTCAGTCCTTGCAGAATCCTAGCTGTTATAGAACATGCGAGAAGTTACGAAGAGCAAAGAAATGGTGATTCATTGTAAAATGACAGTCCCATACACAAGCCCCACCACTGGATGCAGATCTTTGGGATGACTAGCAATTTTAAATAACTTTATACATACTTACATAATTTCGGCGTATGTATATGTATATGAACTACTACTTATTTGTGAATTTTTGTTCCAGGACTGAAATAAGTACAAGCATTGACAGGATGTGCTTAGAAATATTTAGACCAATGTGGCATTGCTGTGACATCCGGTTGCCTGATTGGGGAACTCTTTTTTGGTATGGACCAGATAGTGTATTGCTGAACTTGCATGATGACTTAAAAATGATATGAGCTGTGTACTTCTCGTATGTAGTGGAACCATATATTTATCTGTAGTTAATTTTTTTAAAAAAGTTCATCTCACAGACTGCTTTAAAAGAATTGGATAAAAGCCATACATTTATCTGTATCAAAAGATAAAATATCAGGATTTTATATATATATATAAACTGTAACATATTTAATTCTGGAGCTTTTTTATTGAGAAAATAAAATAATTCTATTTCTAATAAGGATGATACCAATAGTAACAAAACAAAAAACAGGCAAATAGACAGAAAACCCTGCCTCTTTCTGAGTAGTACATATGTTTTGGGCACCATGCAAGGTTCTGAATTTGCTGACATTATGTTACTTAGTTCTCAAAAACACTAACTTAGTAGGCAATGTTATTTCTACTTTAGAGATGAGGAAATTGAATAAGGAGAGGTTTGCTAGCGTGCCTGAGTCTTAACACCAAGAAATGGCAGATTGGGATTCAGTCTCCTTCCAAATCTCAGCCCTTCCTCACTATGATGATAAGAAAGAAGTATTACTTCATGCCCTGATTTATGCATTGAACTTTATCATAGTATGTATACATAGAACAGTTGCAATGAGTTAAAATATCTTGGTAGACACTTACTCAGACTTGGCTTTAAGAACAAAGTATTTCTCCAAGGAGGTTTGAGGGGACAGTGACATCTTCTTAATTTGTGTCTTTTTGGTATGAGGTAGTTTGAGTAAATCCAGACCAGATTGTTGTAGCTTTTACTATTACTGAGGTAAAAGGAGAAAAAACAGAGCAAGGCGAGTAGTCTGTGCTGCCGTTGCCATAATTTTCTCTCCAGGCTCTGAGCACATACTTCTTTGATGCCTGAATGTCTTCAAGCTTTAGAGATCTGGGAGTCGGTTCGTGGTTAGGGATGAGAGCATTGGTGAGGATGGGAGCCAGGGACCAGAGGCCAGCTCGGCATGGAGGACTGGCCCCAGGGATCAAGTGAAGACAAAATTGTCAAGGGTTGTGGATGGCTGAGAATAGAAAGCATAAAATAAGCAATGGCAAAGCTGAGAAGGACACGTGTGTTCCTGCCATGACACTGATGCTGATTCCAGACATCTCTGAAACAATAAAAGGCTAATCATGGAGTTGACAGTTGCAATTTCAGGTTTTGCTAGTTGTGTAGGAAGAGTAAAACATGCTTTTAGGGTGTCAGAGATGCAAGAGGAGGAGGAAGAGGTAAAGGGGCACCTGTGGGGTCAGTCACCTGTGTGTGATGTGCTCATGTGCACCTGGGTGTGTGTTAGCTTCTACATCTGAATAATAAAGGCGCTTTGTGTTTCTGAGAGCACAGTTGGCCAAGTCCTCATGGCACTGAGTTGCTGGAGAAAAATGTTCACATTGTCGAGCATGGACACAAACCCTGTGCCAGCTCCACCACCTTCTCTTGGCACTGAGCTTCAGAACTTTTGATGTTTACCCATAGCCTACCATCCTTAATCTACTCCCATTAGCTATTGGGTATAATCTGCATTATTAGAGTAACTTCAAATACAAGTGATACTTATTCTAGTTGGAAGAAAATGCAGTTCCAAATTTCCAAGTGTTTGTAATGAGTCAAGTGAAGAACTTGGGAAGAATTGGGAATGCTGAGGTATCCTGCACCGTCTTTCCCATCTGCGAGTGGATTCTAGTGAGGACATGCCCGAGAGCGGTCATTTCACCCCTTCCTCAATTTCTTTGAGTAGACCACCACTCAGTAACACCCCCACTCTCTCTTTTTGCACCTGAAATTGTTGTAGAATAGTCCATGCCATCATACCTTCTCTCCTCCCTTCATTGACAAACATCTGTTTTCCATTGTTATCTCCTTGGAGACACAGTTGCGGAATCTGTTTCCATTCCAATTACATCCTTCAAGATCTGGCGTTGATGATCTCTGCTTTAGTGACATGGCTTCAAATCAGAATCCAAAGCTGAATTTGAAAATATTTTTAAACGAAATGGGCTGAGGGGGCCAAAAAGGATGCTAGTGATGGTTTTGTTAACAGCGTTCGCCGCAGCGACAGCAGCACACATGTCTTGGGTCTGACCATCGTGAGACCATCGCATTCCAGACTTGAGGACCTAGGCTTGTTCCGATTTCTGAGTCTTTATTCTGGAGTCCACACTGAACAGGGAACTGCCTTTTCGGGCCTCACTTTCTGGAGCAGAACAGAAGCTGAAAGGGACAAGAAGGAACTCCCTGCCCCTAAAGTTTCTGGCTGTAACTGGCAGGCTTTTCCTCCTAACGTGCCACGGCTCAAAGCAAATCCCGTGGCCACATCCACAGTGCCCACTTACAGGGCAGCCTGCACAGGTGCACGGGAAGCGGGGGCTGCCTACCAGCCAGCCCAGGGACAGAGAAGGCCGTGGCCGCCCCTCACAGGGCTTAGAGTGAGGTTATGGGTGAGTATCTGTCTTTTCAATTTTATTAGTATTCTTTGGAATAACAATCAGTTTCCTTAGTAGTTAGAAAAGAGTAACACTTTTAATATGATAACTTTTTTAAAAAGTAGGGCATATTTTAAAGTGCTAAACTCAAAATAGTCATATATAATTTAAAGTAATCACAATTTGCATCTGTAACATTTATACGATTTTGATACTTAGTTTATTAAATGAATTATTAACGACATATTAAAATTTTCATGGCAGGAAGTAGGAGGCAGTCAGCAGACCAGGGATAGGCAGTGGCAGATTCTGAAGAAGTGAAGTTGGTCAGGGAGATCCAGCTGTCTCTATTCCGGTCTGGAGCTGGGGAGGGTCGAGCTGTCTCCTCTCCAGACCCAATTTCATAGGCTGAAGGCTGGTACATCAGCCTTTCAGATTTTTATTCTCTCTTCTTCACCCATTCACGCCATCTCTCTGTTCCCCCAAAGTCAAAGTAATAAATACAGGCAGCAATAGTGTGGGAAGATTAAGTGCAGTACTGTTCCTGGGTCCTGCCCCTTGGTGGGCTTCTGTCACGGGGACTTTTCCAGAGTAAGAGGCAGCTGGTTGGGTTTGCTCACAGCATCTTTGGTGCCTCAGTTTCTCCTTCATGTCCATGTCTGGCTCTGCAGTTGCAAGGCAGTTCAGAAAACTCACAAAGCTCCTGGTCACATGAGCAAGAAAATAGGATGAAGTTCTACTAAATTCTCATGTCTCAGCGGGCTGGGCAGTTCTGAAGCTGCAGGTGTCAGGTGAACCTACAGCATGGGGAGTTCGTGGGCACTGTGATGGAGAATCACAGATAAGCTTTAAAATTAACTTTATCTCCCACTGAACCATTAAAGATACTCAGAGAAAATACTGTGTTCTCTGACACCAGTAATACTGTATTATTATACCATGAACTCGAATACCTGTAAGGACAGAAAGTGTGATGGAAAACAACAGTAATTATGTAAATCATTGTAATGTATTAGACACAAAATGTAACAATCTGTGTTGTATGAAGAACATGTTTTTAATTTCTAAAGTAATTCAGTTGTAAGATATTTTAATGGTGTTACACTATTTGAGGCATCAACATTAGGAATCCAAATGTATTGTCTTCTTGGAAAATTGGTTGTAGTTAATATTTTAAATAATCTAGGGACATTTCATCACTATTTTGAATCATTGGTGAACTTTGTAATGCCTTTTCATTTGAGTCAGTTTTTCAAAAAGTTACTCACTGTATAGCTTAGTGTTTTAAAAATTGTTCTTACCCCGAGGTTTTAGTCGCTTTTGCATTTCAGTGCAATGAGACATCCCAGTAACTCTTGATGACCGGAGAAAATGAGTGCACGTAGACGTGACCCCCATCCCAGAGTGTCCCTGGGCAGAGTGGCCGCTGAGAGGTGCACGGTTAGGTCCTGGGGCAGAGGCCTGCCTGGCTAGCAGTCTCGACGTCTGACCGGGGCCAGGGTCCACCATGGGGCTCCTCCTCACCGAGACCTGTGCGGGTGAACTCACGGCTATGCGGGGGCCTTCAGTTCTGGACTCCAGCACGGAGGTGTCTGGGTTGCTGTCCACCCACTTGCATATCCTCCATTTCTGCTTCTCTCCTCTGTCTGGAGCATCATTTCCAACTCTCCTGCTAGTGCTGGGTCTACCCTATCCTGCAGGTGTTGATCACGTGCCCCTTGCCCTGTGAACAGCACAAACCCCACTGTCTGCCTCCGTTACTCAGCACTCCCACTAAGCTGGGGTCTCCTCCCCATCCTGGACGCTCACGGCTATCAAACACCATGGAACCGCAAATGTCTTGTGGCCCCATTTAGACTCAGTGGTTTAGAGATCAGGGAAGTATCCAGGAAAAGTTCATATAATCATTAATTTACAAGAAACGAGGTCATTTTGTTTGTGTAAAAGCTTCAGAACTTACCCCGTCTGTCCGCACTGCACATCCCTCCTCTTCATCTGTTTGGCATCCACACTAGTTTACTTGAGTAGCTTAACGTCGGAGATAAAGATCTCCACTTGTCACCTGCTGTGACTTCCTTTGGAGAGCAAGGATGCACCATATTCTGCATGGAAAAATTATAGTTTTCAAGAAATCTGAAAAAAGAGATTCTCCAGATGAAAGACCTTCTTCTATCTTTTGATCTTATCTGAACTAAGAAGCAGTTACCAATGTTAAACTTGGTTTTTAGCTAAATATCTGACTTAATATTTATTTCATATATACATGAGCATTATAAGTTGCCAGAGTTTGTGCATCTGCCTGAAATGACTTGGTATAATTATGAAAACTGTGTGACCTTTCCCACATTTACCTCAGTAATTAGAATACTAAAAATGTTACATAGGTTGCTGTTTGAAACACGAAGAGTGGATAATGAGAAACTTGTTTGTATGTTTATGTAGCAGCATTTTTAATTGCAATCCATTTCACAGTTCTTACTTTGAAATCCAACAGGAATTTTATTATATAAGATAAAATGTCAAAGTAGCGTCCAGTACTGAATGTCCCGTGGAAAACTCAACTAGAAATGACCACTTAGGAATGGTGTACTATGGATGAGTCAGGGCTCAAGAGCTTTATGTCCTTCTGTTTGGTTCACTTTGTGTAATTGCGTCCCCATCCCTCTCCTTCTCTCTCTCCCCCCCCCCAATCCTGTGGAACAAACCTAGAGCCTTTGCACTGAGCTACCTCCCCAGACTTTCTTAATTCTACTAATTTTTGAGACAGGATCTTGCTAAGGTGCTTAATTTCCTAGGCTGGGTTCAAACTTATGATCCTCCTGCTTCAGCCTCCCAGAGTCCTGGGATTATAGGCATAGACCATCATGCCTGGTACAGCAACTCCTTTTTAGAAAGCTGCCAGGCCCTTCCCAGGGCTCACAGGCTGCTGTTAGTCCTTCCCGACTGAGATCTCTGCTGGTTGGCATGAACCTTGGGCACCTTGGTGCCATGGTTTCCTCGTGTTGAGCTTCAGGGAAGAAGAACTACACCACGGGTCCACATAATCATCCCTAAGAGAACTGGGATGTGTGCACACTCCCAGGCCTTGCATTTTCCTGGTGTCATGGGACATTCATAATTACAGACTCTGTGGGGGTCATAATAATTATGGGATATTCCTTTGTGACTCACATGTGTCTTATTCCAACATCAGAGCCCGGGAAACATAACTGCTGAAAATTCCATCTTTAAAGTCTTATTTAAACTTCCCATATGTGATTTATGGACAATTCCAAAGGGGCTAATGATACAGTCTTACATTTTTTTCTTTGTTAGAAAGCAGACTCGAGAGACATCCCTGTTCACTTGCAAGTATAGAATTGAAAGTCACCTGAGCCAACTATGTGGCATGAAAAAACATTCTATCACAAATGACAAAAATAATTTCTGTGTTATGAGTCCATTTAAATCACTTCCAACTGCATTCTTTAAATTAGGTTTAAGCCCCACAAAATTATATTTTTGTTATGGCCTAGACACTTCTACTTAGAGGTCAAATTATCTTACAAAGATCAATTCAGAATTAAAGGATACATGTGAGTATTCCATAGGTCCGCTCTATAAAATCTCAGGTCAGTTCGTGTCCTGGAGTACGAATAGTAATCCTGTATTAAAAATTACATGGGTGATTTTAAAATAAAAACACTGACTATGTCATTTCTCCCCCGTGGCAATGTTATAATGAATGATTGCAGTCTCTGGTTTTGCAAAGACCCAGCTTTCCGGCTTTCACGCCCATCTGGGACAGTTCAGCTGGAGCAGGCCCTGCCCAGCTCTCCCAGTGCCAGAGGTCCCCGGTGCTCCTGCAGCTGTTGGAGCTGGGGGCCCTCAGGTCCCACCCGCTGCCTGTCTTCCAGGCCTGGGTTCTCCTCCCCACCAGCTTACTTGGTGCAGTGCAGTACCTGCTGCAGCTCTGTCTTCCAGCGGTCACTGACCACACACCCACCCTTTCCTGTCCCCCCATCAGGTCATGATCCTCCTCTCTGGAGGGCTGGCTGGGGCGGAGAAGTGACAGAACTTTTCACTGGGGACCGCCGAGAGATGGGCACCGGGGTCAGCAGTAGGAGTGAATCTGGGGAAATGTGCCGATAGAGAAGGCGGATCGTGCTCAAGAGTGTTTCTGAAGGCAGAGGCTGAGTTGCATGCTGCAGGTGCCAGGGTGCTGCCCCAGGGCTTGCACTTCTCCAGTGAACAGTGCAGACCCAGTCAGGCAAAGGAGCTCAGGGGGACAGCTGGGTCCCAAGGGAAGCAGAGTGGGTAGAACGCGGCCCACTAGAGTGAGTGACTTGGTGGGTCCCCGAGGGCAGCTGGGCTCTGTGCGGCCATGGACACAGTGCTATCTTACTTAGTAGCAGCTGAGATTGTGTGCATTATCAGTGTGGAGTAACGTGTGTCTTTTGCTTGGGCCTCTTGGAGTCTTTCTATCCATCAGCATTGCCTTTTGGGCAACCTCTGTGACTAAACCAGGAGTCATTAGCGACTCAGGGCAGTCAGTCCCCGTATTTACACTTTCTGTATCCACCACCAATGGCAGATCTAAGATACCAGGAAAACACTGCATCTGTACCAACACCGACAGACTTTTTATTCTTGTTGTTGTGCTCAACTACTTACATAATATTTGTATTGTGTCGTGTATTATAAGAAGGCTAGAAATTATTTAATATATATATGCAGGAAGATGTGCAGATTATACATGAGTACTGCGTTTGATGTAAGGGACAGCAGCTGCAGATTTTAGTATCCCCATGGATCCTGGAAAGGTCTCCCTAGATTCTGAGGGGATGACTGTGTCCCAGAGGATAATTCCAAAGAGCTGTGGGCTGGAGGCTGGGAGAGAAGCTGGTCTGCATGCGGTTTGATCTGTAGGACTAAGGCTGCTGGTGGAATTCTTAGAACTGCTAAAGGCAAGTTCTGGGGGAATGTCCAAAGAACAGAATTCCGTGGAGGGATTATGAGTCACATCTACTGTTTGGCCACCTGAACTAATGGCTGTAGATGGTCGCTTCCTTAAAAATACTTTAAACCAGTGTTTCCAGTGAATGTTGTCCATGAGCAACACTTGTTTGTGATTAGGTGGTTTTCCACTCAGATTAACTTAGAGATCCAAGGATCTGTATATGAGATTGGACTGGTTGAGGCCATTTTCTTTCTAGTGGAAAATCGTATACAATGGTACCTCGGTTCACAACTTGATTCACCACCATGATTCTAGTAGCAAACCAAGTTGGATGAGAACTGAATCAAATTCTGTGGTTTGTGACCAGAATCGTGGAGAGAATCAAGTTCGTGAACCAAGGCACCACTGTAATCAAACCAACAGTAGCTCATTGTTTGATTCTGGAAAATACAGAGGATAGAAACAGTCAGACAGCTCCTCCATTCAGGTAAGCATACCACTGTAAATTGATGAATTTTCAAGATAGAGTTTAAGTCAGTTTCCTGAAATTACTATCCTCTTCCTTTTGCCATGCCTTCTGCTATGGTGGCAGCAGTTCATGCCCACCAGAATAGTTTAGAAATGGTGTCAGTTTAAAGCTGCACTCCATGCTATGGTGTGCATGTGCTGGGGAATCTCCTGACATCTGGGCAGGCACAGGGCTTCCCTGAGAAGGATCCTGCACACTGGTGGTCCTGTGTCTCTCTTCACTCAGTCACACCTCCCTTGTACACCCTGTGATTTCTGTGCTTAAAATTCTCTGGGTTAACCTGCAACCCAAAGGTACACGTATGACAGGCTAAGTAGAATCTTGCTAGGTTTTGAAAATTTCCCCTCAGACATTAAAGTTGTTTTATCCTCCAACTAGTTGGACAGTTCTTTAAGCTTCTTTGCTTTTACAAAAAGTTTTCCCAGTAACAGTTCTATTTTTTGCGCCCCACTCGTTAGTTAAATTATGCAACCATCATTTAATTAGCCAAATTATGCAACCATAACAACTAGAACCCATTTGAGACTAAAGGGAACAGCCTCGTGCTGCGGTCCCAGCTGCATGGTGGGGATGGAGTGGCTTGGGTCACCTGAGCTGGCTGGGGTTTGAGAGGGTCTGGAGGACAGCCAGGAAGGGAGCCAGTTAGCAGCTTCCCTAGAAAAGAACTTCTACTTGCTTTGTACAACTCAGCAATTCAGGAAATAACCTGTATTATCCAATTTAACATTTAGACTTAATGGGAAATCTGGAAAATGTGAATTGCCTCATAAGCCTTTAACCATGATGTTTTTCTAAAATAAAATGTCAAAATATCCTTCTCTACATAGCAGAAGTTGTGAACAGCATTTTAATTCAGTTATCTTTAAATCCATGGATCCATACGGGGATGTGATGGACACAGCCAGTGTGAACGCTCCCAGGCCCAGTGTCTGAGGGCCCGGTTCAGAAATGTGAAAAGAGATAGAAGAGTTTAACTTAATGATTTACCAAAGAGATAGCAACAAAGGACACAGTGTACACATCATATGATACAGGATTTCCAAACGAGGAACCTCATGCTAGTACAGTAGCTATGATTACAGTTTCTGGTAGTGAAATTTTCCCCATGTCAGAATCTGAGTCACACAGATGACAATGCACGTGATATGCAGGTCAAATGGAATGTGATATGTATATTACAATAATACAATATTATATTCCATCTGCTGTGCACTCCTTGGAGGACGTCGTCCCCCGGCCACTGCGTGTCTTTTTTCTCCTTACACACACCCTGCTCCTTGGCCATGTGTGTGTATGTCGTTGTGTTTGTTGTCCTCAGGCTGCCCCAGGATTTGTTTCCTTCTTACTCTTTCTCACAGGGCGATGTAATGAAGAGGATGCAGCTCCTCAGTGCTGGGGGAACAAGTGAGGGCCTCAAATTCCTGCTTCAGACTCACTGTTCGCACAGGGGAGACTGTGTTATTTGCATACATTCAGTAGTATATTTCCTGTGGCCATCAAGCCATTGGGGGTATAGCCCAAGGCCTACACTTTTTCTTAACCTTAATTTTTTTTTATCTTACTTAGTTTGGTCTCCCCAGTGCTTTTCATCCTAATTCTTTTGTCCTCAGGAATTTCTCTTGATGCATTGTGACTGCTGCAAACTCAGAGATAACAGAGTGTAATGAGTGTGCAGCACTCAGGGAGCAAACACCACTGAGCTGCTTAGTTTGACTGCAGCCCTGCACCCCAGTCCGGTTCCACATCCGGGTGTTCTGCCCGCTCCCCATGAGGCATCTCAGAGTGGGACATGCAGGAAACAGCATCCTGAGCCGGGAGCTCTTTAAGAAGGTAACTCACCCCATTTAGGACCCATCACCCCCAAACCTACCCAGGGGAGAAGGGGAATGAATACTCAAGCCCAGCGTCTCTACTCAGGGTGGAGCAGGGCTGTGGGAACGCGTGGCAGGGTCGGCTGCCGTGAGTTCTTGTGTTCCCTCGGCTGGTGCCATCCATGTATGTGTACGGGGGTCTGAGTTGAATTTTGAAGTGTGGATGAGCAGAGTTTGGATAAATTAAGGGTGCGAGCATGGCGTTGGAGGGGTTAGGATGAAGGTGAAGGCTCTTTCATACCAAAGGAAGACAAGGAGGCCCTGTTCCGCGCACCAAGGTTGCCTGAACGCCTCTGAATGAATGGCTGTGCATGTGGAGGACAATGGGAACACTGGAGGTTTTGCTGACTCCCAGGCTTACAGGGTCATCCACCCTAGGTAGGACCGTGCATGGGGAACCAATGAACAGCACTAAATTGCAATAGTGTTATAATAATATTCAGCTTTGACACTGATAGTGTAGATTCATAAAATGCTATAGAGCAAGTTTATGAGTAAATGTAATATTAAAGAGTGTGCCCTGGGGCTGGGGATTTAGCCCAGTGGTTTTGCCACCTGCTGCGCAAGCGCAAGGACCAGAGTTCGATCCCCGGTACCAAAAAAAACAAAAAACAAAAAAGAGTGTGCCCTATCAAAGAGAAATAATGTTGAAGATACACAAAATTACTTGATGCATATTTTGGCTATTACAGTTTGTGTGAAATGGTAGGAGCAATCTTGGCTTCATTTCGGCTT